GCACCCGCTCCACATTTGGCCCAAATGTTCTTTTTTAGAGAAATCCACTTACCCTTCACAAGCAAAATTTGTTCAAAGAGACTGTACTGAGTGAATAAATCTGACATAAAACCTGCTCTCAAACGAAGGTTTCCCCCAATTCATAATACTCGCCTAATATTAGTCTGATGGCAGAATTTTTTTTTTAATTTTAAAGGTTGCATATTTTTGTAATTATAAAACTTGCAAACCTCCTTTCTTCTCTTCCACACTTTTAAATATATTTTTTATAGATTTGACATCATTCTCTACATACAGTGTTGTATCTTGATTTTTCATTGATTATTGTAATATTCATTTAATATTATGTTATGTAATATGTATATTCATATTATATTGTATTTCATTAATATTCTTCAAAAGCACCTGCTCTTGACGCCTGCATAATATGGCCATGCCATAATTTATTTATATATTTCTTAGTGAACACATAGTTCTAATCTTTTTGTATTATCGTAAACAATTCTACAGTGATATTTTTGACTGAAGGGGAGAATAAAGACATTCTTTTACTCTGAAAAAATATACCCTTTGATGATTCCTACTCATAGCGACCCTGTAGGACAGAGTAGAAATGCCTCATAGGGTTTCCGAGGAGCGGCTGGTGGCTTCGAACTGCTGACCTTCTGGTTAACAGCCAAGCTCTTTAACCACTGTGCCACTGGGCTATCTGTCTAGATTAGCTCTTACTATTCCAGTCTATATTGTTGTTGTTACTATTATTTTTAATAATATTGTGTTTTTGGTGAAGGTTTACACAGCAATTTAGGCTCCCATTTGACAATTTCTACACAAGTCGTTCTGTGACAATGCATTAACATTCTCATTATTTCTGTTCTGGTTGTTCTGTTTCTAGTAGTCTAGTTTCCCTGCCCGTTACATTCTCATCTTTGTTTTAAAGTAATTGTTGGCCATTTGGTCTCATATAGGTGATTTTTAAAGTGTATTATTACACTAAAAGTTTAGTGTTTAGGGCTTACATTACAAGCCGTTTTCTGAGTGACCTTTGCAAAGGTTCTGCTGGAGACCAAGGGGAATACCTTCATCTGTTGAAGACTCAGGACGTGCACAGCAAGAAGTAGCAGCTTTATGGCGGGCGTCTCATATGACCTGCTTAAAAACTCTGTAATTAAGGTAATCTTGTCCTCAGTTTTGCAGACGGAGATACTGAGGTTTAGGATTATGGACAGACTTTAAGATTACGCCGATTGCAGGGATGAACCATTATTTTAGTTCTATCACTCATGCTTTTATTCTCTGCGGTGCTTGGAGGATTTCTGGTATAGACAACAGATGAATGTGTTTATTATAATAGAGGTGGATCAGAGCCCTACCCGTGTAGCTGTGGTTAGCTACCTCAGCTCAGTGGTTTAATAACTGTTGTTCTAGACCACAGAGAAAAAACCTTATTTTTTTTTTTGGCCAAATTTATTACACTGTTTCCCTGTAAGATTTTTGTCACAGATTTAAACCTTCTATCACCTGAACTAATACTTACATATATATATTTTTTCAATTTGACTTTTTACTTATCTAAGGTGTATATGTACTTTTTTCTTAAGAAATGTTAATTGTTTTATATAGACAGCAACCTGAAATAAATATTTAATTATTAAAATAAAAACTGTATATCCACACAGTCAGTAACAGTATATTTACACAACCTCTGTGACCAGTGGGGCCCCTGCATACCTTGGGAAATTTTAGTAATTTGTGGAAAGAAGTTGCTATCTAAATAATGGAGAGTATGCCAAACTAACATGAGTAGAAATCTTTTGAAGATTCTCTAAACATCTTAAGACTTGAAGCAACCTGACTTTCTTTTTAGAACTACAAATTTTTAGGATTCTCCTAGCTCCCAGCTTTCTAGGCACCACCTCTTCCTCATCACGTGACCTGTATGATTGAGTCTCTCCGACACCGTACCTCTGCGATGGCTGTAGAGTCATTGATCAGCATAAGATGTGGTACTGAATCTCAGACTTTATTACATAAACATTGACAACAAGGAAAAGACCTAATTACCCTATGAAACTGATGAATTGATCTGTTGAAGAACAGAGTGGTTTATGGTCCTGTGGAAAGGGTGGGTGTCTTAGTTTTCTAGTGCTGCTGTAACAGTATACCACAGGTGGATGGCTTTAACAAGCAAGTTTATTCTCTCACAGTTTAGGAGGGTAGAAGTCCAAATTCAGGGCGCCAACTCCAGGGGAAGGCTTTTTCTTCTTGTTGGTTCTGGGGGAAGGTCCTGTCTTCAGTCTTCCCCTGGCCAAGTTGACCCATATTTTGGGGGAACACAATTCAATCTATGACAGTGGGTGTGGTTTGAATAGCAAGCGTAAAGATAGTTTTGGAGATGGTTTTAAGGCACATTGGGGCAAGGTGTTGGGGAATTGTAAGCAGGTTGGCTGTGAGTGTCTTAATTACTGTGATTTTACCTATGTAATTTTAGCTACAAGTAACATTAGTGCTTCTTTTGTTCCTGTTGAGAATATACAGTAAGTCTGCAAAAGCTGGAACTTGTGTCAGAGAAGGAAAACTAAAATATTTTCCACTAATAGAGAGCGATGGAAAAAATGGTAAGACTGTGCCCTGTCAAAGGGGGAAAACTTGGCAAGACCCAGAAAAACAAGACAGACCTGTCAAGTTCCAGCTCTTACAGGTTTCACTGTAGTTAGGAAGGAAGGTGGTTTGATGGCTGTCAGCATTTTCCCAGGTTTGCTGAACTCTGATGCACTTATAACTCGGGATTTTTTATTTCCCACACTTTCTCATATCTCTGCAGCAAACTGGTGTTCAGGATGAGACTCCGAGCTGCGCACAGGCTTCTGATTGTTGATATGCTAGTTTACCAACAAGTGATATGATTAGTAATAAAAACATTAGTATTCATTAAATGCCTACAGTGTCTGTGTATTTGTAGGTTTAATACTATCTGCCCCCTGCCCTCTCTTTTGACTAGGATATTGTGAGAACTAATTTGATTTTTTAAAAATCTAACACTCTATAAAGCAGCCTGGTCTGTTTTCATTCCACAACATGTTACAAAAGGCATCATGGTGTGAGGTAATTATATACCAATGAGATCATAGTGAAGCATGTAAAGATTCATTACTCAACTGTAGTTGAAGAGGGGGAGGGGAGGAAAGGGAATTCCTAGGCATAGTGATGCCAGATGAGCAGAACATAAAAAACACAAGACAGAAGGGAAAAAACGATTTTTTTTCCCTCTTCTGTATATTGGAAGATAGAAAGTTTTTTTTCGTTTTTTTTTTAAAGGAAGTGGCTGAAGGTACACTGAAAAGGAAGCAGGCAGAAGAGTAGAGGGAGGCTCTTGGGGGTGAAAACGAGAGTTTTTATTTGGAATCACGTGATAAGGAGATGGCTGGGATCTCCTGAAGGTCCTCCTAACCCCCTCCTCCTCCCCACCCAAAACAAAAAAAAGCCCAAAGCAAAACAAAAACCCAAAGCCTTTCTTGGTTCCATAAAGGATTGAGGCTTCTAGTTATATAAATACATAAAACTGGGAAAGGCACTAGCCAGCGTCAGTGTAATACTTAAGTCTATGCTTGAACAGTGGCCTAGATCAAGGGTAAACATGTTTTCTTGCACATGGGAAAGGAATGAAGAATTCGATGAGGAAATTACAGGAGGAAAAAATATCTAAAGATCAAGAAAGTTCCAATATTTTTGACTTTTAAAGCTAACTTAAAATCTGAACGACCATAATGACCCAAGGGTTATGAGTATCCTGGAATATTGGATATCCACCAGTATGATTAAGTGAAACCTCTTTCTTACCCTAATAAAACATTGCAGCATCTAATGAAAACAGATCAAACGAAAATAAGGAGACAGTTGGATGGATTTTAAATAATAATATATACATTTACATGTTACTTTAGAATTTACAAAGAACTTTAGTACTTTATAGTTTACAAATAAGTTTTATATTTACTATTAAAAAAAAAAGATAGGGGAGGAAGATAATTATGAGAATCTGTCTTACCCAGGGCTACAGTCCTTCTAAGGACCGTCCCTGGAGAAGGACATCATGCTTGGTAAAATAGATGGTCAGTGAAAAATGGAAGACCCTCGACAAGATGGATTGACAACAGTGGCTTCAACAATGGGCTCAAATATAGTAACAATTATGAGGATGGCACAGGACCGGGCAGTGTTTTGTTCTTTTGTGCGTAGGGGCACCTAAAAACCTAACAGCAGCCAATATATTACGCTGGACTGTAGGAAATTGCCAGTGTTCAAGCTTTTCTTGACCTCGGTAATGGCAGTCTTGTATGGTTCAACCTAATTCTAAAACCTAAGTGACTCCATTTTGTTGTGGGTTTCATTCTTTTCTAATAAAACAAGTGATACGATAAATTTTTTGTGAGCCAATGTGTAGTAACAGCTATTTATAGCTGAGTAATTGTGGCACATATTACCCTATGAGTCAAAGACCTAATGGCATTTAAAGTTCCTGGTTAACACTACAGCTGCTAACTGGAAGCTTGGCAGTTTGTATCCACTAGCCACTCCTTGGAAACCCTATGGGGCAGTTCTACTATAGAGTTGTTATGAGTCGGAATCGACTCAGTGGCAGTAGGTTTGGTTAACTTCTCATTCATGTCTTCCACACTAAGACTTCTGTTGTGTATTGCAGGGGTTCTGTGGTAAAGCCAGTGTACATTTAAGGTCAAATTGTTGTTAGCTGCTGTGAAGTCAGCTCCTGACTCATGGCGACCCCATACACAACGAGACTGGACTGTTGATCCCTGAAGCTTGAGGAGAATGAGAAGCAAATTCCTTTTGTTCCATTTCTCTCAGGTTGTACTTGGAAGACATTTAAAATATGTTTGCTGTCTGGCATCAAGCTCCTTGGAATGTTTGCTTCTTTTATAGCTGGGGTATTGTTCTTCCTGGTTCCCTGCTCACTGGGTTTTCATGCTCTTTCTCTTAAGAATTGCCTGAGGTGCCCTCAACTGAGGAAGAAGTAGAAGAAACGGAGTCTTGGGCGAAGCCTCTGGTCCACATTTGGCAGACGAAGTCCCCAAACTTCGTGGCTGAGCAAGAATACAATGCAGCCGTAGCCAGAATGGCACCACACTGCGCTATCTGTACTCTGCTCATGCCCTACTACAAGGTAAGGGGGGGAACCTGTCAACGTTTCTCTTCAGTGCTGCACTTCTATGTGCCTGTAAATCCCAGCGGTCACCCGGGAGTCACTGTAGAGTTAGCAGGCACAGAAAACGGGAAGACATTAATACTCCTGTAACTAACAGCCTTCATAGGAAAACAAACAGGATTTCTGAGTGCTGCTTGGGAGACGACAGTTCTCTGACAGTACTTTTTATTTTTGAATGTCCTACCTAGTTCATTTCAGGAAAGGGGCAATTCCAATCTTTCTTCCTATCCCTTTCACCAAGAAACAGAACATAAAGCTTAAACAGTGGAAACTTACAAAAGAGAGAGTGTTTTATGCTGGGTTCTCTAGCGAGGCGAAACTAGTAAAGCATATAAATATATATATGGAGAGAGATTTATATCAAGGAAGTGGCTCACGAGGCTGCAGAGACTGGGACGTCCCAAGTTCATGGGTCAGACTGGAGGCCTCCCGTGACTTATGCAGCCGCAGGAGCTGGTGAACCCAAGATCAGCAGGTCAGAGAGCAGGGCTGTTGCTCACAGGCTGCGAAGATCAACGAATCTCAAGATTGGCAGGCAAGATCACAGCAGTAATGTAGGCCAAATGTTCTTTAGGAGTCTAGTAAGGTACTACATAGTCTGTTTTGGGGTTCAACATGTTATAAAGTATATGGATACAAACATTGTGTTTTTGGTCATGTTCTCATTAATAGAATTAGAAATATTTTATTCAAGATCACATCTCTTAGAGTTCTATGTAAAGTGGACATTATTCTGCTCAGATGTTTCAGAGCATGAAACTATGTGATATGCTGTATTTTCAGACCTCTGTAAATAGAGGAAGTAGTTTCCTCACTGGATATCTTTGAATGCAGCACTGGTGAGTGACACAATATTTTTTGTTTTCCCTTTTAGACCTTAAATTTTTTATTTTTTTGAGAAAACTTTATTTTTTTTGTTGAGAGTTATTTCTGCGGCCTACTCTGCCTGTATATTTCTCTGGCAAAAAAAAAAAAAATCAAGTAAAATTGTAAGGTTTTTAGCATAAATTTTTTAGCATAAATTCATGTGTTTTAAGGAGAAATGACAATTTTGTTTGGGATATTGCCCTTTCATATTTAGCAATAGGCTCCAGATCTTTTTCTCTTACCGTGTTGAAACTTTGCGACGAGGCAGAAGCCTTTCTCAATACTGTTGCACAGATTAAAACTGGGATCTTTGAAAACACGCCTTCATGTGGAACCAGGTGATGCTCTTTAGTCAATGAAAGTAGGTCTCTTAGGCTAGTGCAAATGAAGAAGCAAAAACAAATTCATCAGAAGGATCAATGCTTCTCAGATAATAGTTTCAGTAGCTCATCACTTTCCTGTAGGAACAGACTTGTAGAATATCCTCTTGTTCCTACAGATTAGCTTCTGGATGGGAGTCTGAGAAGCAGCATTGACAAATACAGATAGTTGGATCAAGGAGAAAGAACAGAAGTTGGAAGGTGCAGCTGCTAGTGGTTTTGATTGACCAGAACGAATGAGAAGCTCTTTTCCAGGTTTTTCACTCATGTGTAAATGTTCTGTTTTTCAGCCAGACAGCAGCAATGAAGAAAATGAGTCTAGATGGGAGACAAAATTAGATGAAGTGATTACTTCGGGAGAAAAGACTAAGCCACTCATTCCCGAGATGTGTTTTATTTATAGCGAGGAAAATATAGAATATTCTCCACCCAATGCCTTCCTTGAAGAAGATGGAACAAGCCTTCTGATTTCCTGTGCAAAGTGCTGTGTACGGGTTCATGCAAGTAAATGAAATTTATCATTCAGTCATTCACAGGCTTTAGTCCTTCGCATACTCTTTATCTCTTATGTCTTAAATCATTCTAGTTCTTATCAAATCGCATGTCCTGTTAACCTACTAATGTATGGTCTATCTCTGTCCATGCAATTTCATTGGTTTATTATGTGGATATTACTGTGTTTACCCAAGAGCAATAACAGTCTTCTATTATGTTTGAAATAGCCTCCCTGTCTATTATTTATTTATTTATATGATACTATCTGCTTCTACAAGGGATTTGAACACATTGTGATTGAAATATAATTATAGTAACTCTCTTGTTTACATCCGTTTGAAACACACATGCATATATATACATTCACTCTTTATTGTTAAACCTATATATGAGGCAAAGCACCAGAACACAAGAAAATTGATATTTAATCTTGACTCCTAAGCTAGCTAGCTATGTAATTTAGTCATAATATTTCATAAACATATGCTTGGACTCATTATTTTGTGGTCTTGGTTAACAATGATAGGCTTTTCTTTGGGTAATTAACACTCCTGTTATTTTCTATTCCCATCTCAAATGTTACAGCAATTTGATTTTAAATAATCTTTCAAAAGCCTCTTATTTCAGGAAGTCAGATAACAAGTGTTTCTTGGTACCAGATATTGCTGTGTGTATTTGTATCATCAGCCATCTCCTTAGTTAGCTGTTTTTGGGCAGGCAAGTCAAAGTTGAATTGAAGACATCTCTTCATCACTAAGGATGGATTGTAAATCTTTGGCCCCCATCACTGAAATTAAAGCTAATTAACCTTATGTTTGAAATGTGCTTTTAAATTGTTTCAAAAATGTAATTTCAAAGGTTAATTATTGTATTAGCTCTAAATTTCCCAAAACTCTGCTCCCTGGATTGCAACATATTCTGAAATTTGTTTTGCATGGCTAAATGACCAGATTTGACAGTTTAATAATTTTGTTATTTCCTATTGAAAAATTAGCACCTCTAGCTGTATGACAACTATTGCGATCATTAGTAACTGTTAAGACTCATGCTGTCATAATTCCTTGGACTATATTCTTTATTAGTTAAGCGGCATAAGAACCGGAAGCATCTTTGAGACAGTCTTGCTTATGTTTTGTTCTAAGCAGTAGGAGTCAAATCAGTATTGGGTCTCTTGATTGAGTGTTGAGATGTGTATTATTTTAAAGATGCAAAAGACCTAATATATGGGTCCACACTCTTATTTTTTAGGTTGTTATGGTATCCCTTCTCATGAGGTCTGTGATGGATGGCTGTGTGCCCGGTGCAAAAGGAATGCATGGACAGCTGTAAGTGACTTGTATTAGTATCTTTAGTATCTCCCACACCCCATCCCCTCCGGACACATTTAAATCCAGTAAAAAGGTAAGATTGTACACATGATTTTGTGTGCAGACTCTATATTCAACTGTATTCCTAGTCTTTCCTTTCCAGTTCATCTCACATGCTGGCTCTGTATGCATCAGAGAAGTATTAGATACAGGTAGTCTCTGACTTACAACTTATTCGAGTTACGACAAACTACACTTAACGACCATCTTTCTTTTTGCACATCTTATCATTAGTAATATGTACTACATACAGTGTTGTAGCATGTAATTTGCTGATGTTATTCTCAGATGTTCACTCACAAGATGTTCGATTTTATGGTTTACTGTTCAAAACATTGCTGTATAGCAAGCTATGGGCTGGTCTTCAGTGAAGTCGGTATTGGTCTTGGGAATCATAACAGGTAGAAAGGTGGGCAGTGTTCAACTCTAATGACGTATTACAGTTGAGCTGCGCACATGCCCAACAGCCGTTATGATTCTGACTTCTTTGATACAACACTGATGCTGACTTCATTGTAGACCATGCCTATAACCCAGAAAACCAAACCCGATGCTGTTGAGTCGATTCCAACTCATATTGACCCTATAGGATGGGGTAGAACTGCCCATAGGGTTTCTAAGAAGCGGCACATAGGTTTGGACTGCTAATCTCTTGGTTAGCAGCCAAACACTTAACCACTGCGCCACCAGGGCCCCAACCATAAGAAGCATCAGGTGTTAATTTGAAATGAGATATTTGACTTATGTCAGAATAGACTTAAAATAGAATTGTCAGAATGGAACCCCATTGTAAGTTGGGGACTACCTGTATATTTTTAGATGTCCTTCCCCTACTCAGAATTCTACAGAACTGCTAGTTGTTTTACCAGAGCCGGTCCACACTTGTATTTTCAAGGCTTCGTTTTCCTGCGCAGCCCTATTTTGCAATTCTTGAAAATAAGTAGTCTAATAGTAGTCAAGGTGGGGCGTCCTCAATGCCTCCTGAAGTATCCATGTTTATACCTAGCATTTCAGCTACCTTGAGGTCTTTCTCCCACTTGCATTCATACCTCTGACAGATTGTAGAGTATTTGCTCTGTGCCAGGCATTGCTGTGAACTTGAGGCAGAACCTTCAACAACCAATGATCCTCTGCTTGGGGACACAAAGTTCCCTTGGTCTATATTGTTTCTCCTAAAGACTCCTGAAATGTTAGCTTACATCCAGTCATTGTGTTTCATTCTGTTTGTCCACTCTGCTACCCATTTTGCTGCTTAATTATGTTTTTCTTTCAAGAGCTATCAGAACTTTGGGAGTATAGACCTTGCAGATCTACAGACTGTGTCCCCTACTCATGACCTCAGAGCCCTGCTCAGGTGGATGCTTACAGTTGTAATAGTAGCATTGGTTTTATTCTTCAAAGATTTGTAATCAAAGTTAAAAACCTGAAGTACAGTGTAAGGAAAATGCCTTGCATGGTGAACATTTTTGGCATGGTTATATATTTTTAGCTCTCAGTGTGGAAATAGATGTATGATGACTGTAAATTAGAGAAGTCTATGGGCGTGCCATTATGAATGATTTTATTGCTGGCATTCAATTTGGGTTATGAAGGGGAAAGGTAGAAGTGATGGACATTCTTTATCGGCCTAATAATCTTATCTATGAAATGTCAGTAGTAACATTTTCAAGTTCAGACGTCTCCTCTCTAGTGGACCCAGAGAACATTTTGGTTATTTCCTTTGGTATACTCATTATGTTAGCCAAAAGCATGTAAATTCAGAGTATCATTAAAATAGCCAGGAAGTTTTGCTATAATAAATATATTCAGCTCTTGTCTACCATGCAGGCCACGTTCCTGTTGTGTGAGCCCAGGTAAAGCCACGTAGAACCAGAGTTTGACCCAGGATTTTTCTCACTCACTCTAAAGTATAGTTCAGAAATTAGCCATAACTCTAATCCAGTTCCCCAAGGCATAAAGAGTTCTCTGCTCCATCCGCCGCTACTGCTGGCTACTGCGCTGACGCTCGGAGCAGTCCTGTTGCCTCAGGTAGCACTGTCGTTCACATACTGCTTCTGAAGCTGCTTCTGCTCACCGATTGTGTTATCTGTGTGGCATGTTTTCAGAAGGAAATAATCAGATTAATTACTCTTTGGAACTGATTTAATGCATCTTTCTTAATCCCCTCGCCCCTCAGAAAATAGTGTGCCATTTTGTATTTTAACATTGAAACCATGCAAATATCATTTGATTCGCAGTAGAACTAGGAATTCTGGAATATAACTTTATAGTGATTTTTTAGACCCACACAGTTTCTTATTTCTAATTGGAAATGATCCAGATTCACAGTGGGCCAATTATTTTTTCAGTTTGCTCATTGTGAGTGAACTTTGTCTATGAAGCTCCATCCATAAGCGCTTCTCCTGGGAAATAGAATTGCCATTTTAGTATTGTTGGGAAGTAACTGACAGTATTGATATTCTGACTTTAATACCCTGATTCAGCGTGGCAGAAAGTGTTGAAATATTAATTTTTACTAGACACTTTATACAGTTTCTTTGAATTCTGTGGATGGAATGATTGCATTTTAAAAGCGTCCTTAGACCTGATTTCTTGAGGAATCACTCTCAACGTGGTCAGTTTTGGATTCCAGAGAAGCCCTAGACTTCTTGTGTAAATGGAGGCTGTAACCTGGCCAATGACAATCTAATAGTGCAGCTGGGCTCAGGTGGTATTTCAGTGTGGCTTGTACTTTACTAGGGAGCCCTGGTGGTGGTGCAGTGGTTAAGCACTTAGCTGCTAGTATGCATCTCTTCATTTTGATTCTTAATGTGAATCTCATCGTTTTTGACCTGAATGTCTGTAGTTTGTGTCTAATCTATGTATCAATTCCCACAATAAAATGACTACCAGCTACAGCTAATTAAAAATGTAATGCAAATACTCTCACTGTAAAAATGTGGGATCTGTGTTGCTTTCTTTCTGGT